GTAATATCTCCAGTCTCAGAGCATGCCGTGAAAAGTACTCCAAAACGACATGGGTGCTATTTACTGAAAAAGACTGTCTGCATTTCTGAACAACACAAAATTCATGAATAACTTTGAATAGTTTGTCACAACACCAACAACAACTCGGAAACTTTTAATGCTGACTAGGAGGGATTTCAGGGTCAGGTACCTGCAGTCTGGGCGGGGTTCGAGGACTGGAGATGTCTTTATTATGTCTTCTGGGGACGAGAAACCTATATTATACTCACACAGAATAAGAGCGATTTTTGTGGGACACAGCGGGCTGGTAAAAAAGTGTATAACATTATGGATCCTGATTGCACTCCTGACTTGAACTATTCCTCTGAATATAAAAGAGAAACTCAAGTGATGCAATAAAAACCAGAGGGACTGAGATCAAATGTCTGTGGAGGATTATTTTCTTCTAATCTGATTATCTTTATTCACAGTGAATTATTAAATGTTTGTGCGGCTCAGAAACACCTTTTTACAGGATGGATTTAATGAACAACATCATATCTGCAGGAGGAGAGCGGCGGGTATGAAAGGACACTTTAGAGCGACATAAATTTACACGCCTGTAAGCGTTTTCAGGGTTTTAAAAACGAGGATCCACCTGCAAACAAACATCCGCAGATCTGGAGGATCTCACCCGGGGCGGTTTTGCTCCGACTGCTCGCTGATGGACACTGACATGTCAGTAATTACTACTGCTGACTGCTGTTTATTCTCACCATGCTGCTTTTTGGATGAGAGAGCCTTTCAAAGTTTGAACAGAGGGTAATGAGGCAGATGTTTTCCTACACAAACAAACAAACGAACGAACGAAGGACCAGCGTCTCTCAGAGATGATCACAGTCATCTTATAGATTTGAGTTATCACCATACAGTTTGAGTTTCAGTCCTTTTTATGTCTCTCTGATATCCAACCCTTGTTTTCTCTCTGAGATTCAAAAACAGTCAGGGGATTATTCCAGATAAAGTGTCTCTTATCGGTAATATATGGACAGTGTAGAGGCTGGGAACGTCACACAATTGCTTCTGCAGAGTCCATAAATTCCTGATAATAGCTACCCAAAAGGACATCATCCGACTTGGAGCAGAGTCACTCATTACAGGAGAAAAATAAGCACATTTCCTCCTGTTTTTATGTGTTAGACACCAAAATACAAACTTTTTAACAAGCTGAGCTCTCTCTCTCTATTTTCCTGCTTTCAAACAGCCTCAGACAGAAACCTGACAGCCTAAAATCTCCTGTCAGTTTGACTCTAAATATTCACCTGCAACTGAAACGACTTGAAAAGATGCTTCATTTACAACTAACTATAACCAGTGCTTAATTAGTAAATCATAAGGTGAACACGAAGTCCATAGGACAGGACACAGGTCCCTGAACATATATAGAAAACCTGCTGAAAACAACATATAAATGCCCACTTCACCACATGTGGGACTTACAATCCTCCATTTTAAATAATATCCATTGTACTGATGTCATGGCGGTAATTTACAAGTATTTTAAGATGTACTCCTCACAACACAGACAAATGTCCACATCACCACAGGTGGGACTTAAAGTAAACAGTCAGAAATTCATTTATCAACAGGTCTAACGTTAAAAAAGAGCTTTTAATAAATCACACAAATCTTCTATTATTATTATTATCATTATTATGATTATTCAAAGATTGGCACGGCGGCCCATTAACAGACAGTATTCTCACCGTGTTTAGTCCTTAACTCCTCCACATCAGAATCATGTCCGGATTCTCCTCCTCCTCCTCTTTTTTCGGGTTTTACTCCGTGTGTCTGTGACAGTTCTGGCTCTTTTGGTCACCCTCTCCTCTTCCTTCTCGATCTTTCTGCTCCAAGCTAGCTGCTGATGTCGCGGTTCCCGCCTCTTCCTCCGGTTGTTGTACCGGGCTAACTGATGTCGCGGTACCCGCCTGTTGCTGGTCCACCGGGCTGACTGTTACCGCTGTAGCTGGCTCCTGTTCCGGTTGGCGGTGAATCTAACCAGCCTCCTGCCCCGGTACCAGCCTCCTGACCCGGCTTGGCTAACTGTCGGTGAACCCGGCTAACTGTAGCGGCGCGAGCGTCCTGCCTCAGCCGGTTTAAACCGGTACCATGACCGCTGCAGCTGCGGCCCTCGTCGCCGCTTGTGGAGGCTTTTCTGACTCGTTTTAAAGTGTCATCTAACTCTTCCTTCTTTTTGAACAAAGACAGTAAATTTAACTGTCTTTATGACACGTTAGAGTCGAAATAGTGACCGTTAATTCCTCTCTGTTTGCTCTCCAGATGTGGCGAACTCCAGAAGTTTCTATATCAGGGGGCGTGGTTTGTTGAATCGTCTTTTAATTGCGTCACAAAGCTCCGACTCTTACGCTGCGTTCGAGTGACCTCGGACGTCAGAAGTCCGACCTGAAAATGACGTCACACCCGAGTAACGAGTGTTTCAGTTACATAGACTGTATATAAGATGGACAACCTTCTTATATACAGTCTACAATCTTATATACAGTCTATGTTCAGTTACCAAGTCGGAGAAAACCAAAATCGGAGGCTGAAACAAGATGGCTACATCTATGACAGTTTTTAGCGCTTGCCTTATAATCGAACAAGACATGCGCTGAAATAACTTTCATAGATGTAGCCATCTTGTTTCAGGCCTCCGATTAAGTTTTTGTTTTTTCCCGACTTGGTAACTGAAACACTCATAACTCGGGTGTGATGTCATTTTCAGGTCGGACTTCTGACTTCTGAGGTAACTCAAATGCAGCATCTCAAATGATGTTAAGTCTTATTAAACAACATAAAATTATTGGTATTTGTTCTGTAAATTAATATATGCATATTATAACTTTATTTTCAACATTTTTATATATGTTACAGGAATTTAGGGAGGCCAAAGTATGCCGGATCTTGTTCTGGCAGGATCCAGCTCAAATTAACCCCTGACTATAACCAATACTTATACTCAACAGCTGTGACTACAGGAGAGTTTTCCTAAATGGTTAAAGGGAATTTGATTTTTTTAAAACATTCAGCAAAGATGTCAGCGCAATGCAAGAGACTTACATTACCAAATATATGAACTGGACAAAACTTCAAAATAAAAGCACAGCATAAAAACTACAAAAGTCATTGGATATAAAAAGGGCTTTTACTTTGAAGAACTTTACAAAGATTTTATCAACCTTGATTTTCCAAGTCTGTGACATCGCTAAAGCTGATAAAAGTAAGTAAATTTGGTTATTAAAGTTGAAAACTATCCAAACATTATTGTTATTATTATTATTATTATTATTATTATTATTATTATTATTATTATTATTATAAAGCAGTTACAGACAATAAAGTCTAAATAATAATAAAGCTAAAGGCTGACTATGGTCTAAATAATAATATTAAAACAGTTATAGATTAAAAAAAAAGTCTAAATTAAGTTTATAATAGTAAAAAAAGCAGTTATAGATAATAAAATCCGACTAGGGTCCTACTGTAGGTCATATGGAGTAGGTATCTTTCAGTGGTTTATTGTGTTCCCATTAGTTAATGAAGCTTCATTATAATCAATGGTAAGGTGGATTTCTTTGCCTTTTAATAAAAATAACAGGGACTACATGCAGGCGGGCGTATTAATAAGGTTATTAAAAGCTGCATATATCCACCTGTAATAAGACCTCTGACTGGTGCCTTTATGTCTGCAGTGATAAGTGAAATCTTGCTAAATAATAAATGCTGTTCTCCTAATGAAGCCCCATTATAGCAGGTCTGCTTAAACTCATAAAACATATGAAGGTTTACTCAACAGATTACTTTAATTTGCCCGTACTGAACATCAGTCAAGTAAAAATACCCCAACGCTCGCTCACTCGCTCGCTGAATTATCCCATACATTTCACCCTACTTAGTATAATGACCTCCTGGTGGACGAGTCCAATTCACTCCCCCTCCACAGCTGCAATCCCTCATGCTAACCCTCCTCAGCCCCCCTAAAGCGGACTGAAGGGTTCAGCTGGGACCCCTTAGAGTATTTCAGAGCACGCTCAACAGTGGAGGAGTGGAACCACACCAACACCACTCCCCAGGACTCGGTGTAATGAGACTTTCCGCGACCGTTTCTGCTCATTATTCTCTGTTTGCTCAGGGACTGACGCCGGCACAGTCAAGCCCTCCATCAGCTCTTCTGCTGCACATCTCTTTAGCTTAATGAGGCCCAAATGGGAATTTTCCCCGACCCCCCAGGTCAGAGGTTGTCATTTTCACTTACGTGGGGCATTGTGGAGCTCTTGGTGAAAGTCGAGATTTCATGCTGAACAAATTGACAAGAGGATTAAACTCCTCACCCTGATGGTATCACCTCTCCTGCTAAACAAGCACTTTTACCTGCTCTGTCTCCACGGGCGACGCAGACGTGATTCTGCTTTTAGACAAGTCTCATGATTTGGTACCAAAGTTTGATTATTTTTGACATAAATCTGGTTCCATAGTGGGCTGGGCTTAGCTGGTGGACTCTTAAAGTTGGTCTTTACTCTGGACCGACAGAACCGTCAGTCTGCAGTGAAAGGGGTCCTCAGTCTTGGGATTGTTTTCTTGAAGGAAAGGAGGAAGTGTCTTGTAAAATCTGCGGTTGTGAACGTCCGTGGAGAGATAAACCTTCATATGTCAGTCCTCAGTCCTATTGAGATGCTCCTCACAGGACACTGAACCTCTGGAGACGTCATGCTAATCAAAGTCCTTGAGGAGTATCTGCTCTGGACCGCGGGTTAACCCTCACCATCTGGGCCAGAGAGGAGGAAACTCCGGGACACTTTAGGCCTTCAGATAATGAATTAATTTACATAAAATATGAATGAGGACTGACATGAATAATCAGTGTTATAAAATCCTCAGTGCGGGTCTGCAGAGTTCACAGTGTGGGACCTTCATCAGAACAGGAATAAGAACTCGGGGCTGGTCTGCGGCTCACTCTGAGGGTTAATCTTTGGGTTATATGCTGATATTTGGACATTATGCTCATTCACTGCCAATCCACAACACAATATCTGCATTTAACCACATCTACATACATGCGTGATGACACATCTGAAGACCGTTGGCATGGTAACCGGAGGGTGAGTATGGTTCCATCATTTTCCAATGTGATCCAGTGGGCCAAGAGTGAACAGTGAGCTGAATGTTGAATGAAGAGGAGGAGGGACAGGTGGATTAGGCCTCTTCACATCACTTTACTGGAGTGGGAGCTGGTGTTGCATCATTGCCGGGATAAAACCTCAGGTGGGCGTTGAGAGCGGTTTCAGAGAGGCTGGCAGCGCCTCTCCACTGAAATCACAACTTAAGAAACTATTCGATGATATCCAGAAATAAAAGCCAAAATAATAACAGACTGTCAACTCGACAAGACTGGGTTTGAACAGAGACCCGGGCCAAATCTGGAACTTAGTGAGTGGATCCTCTGCTGGTCTCTGTGTACCCCCGTTTACTGCCAAAGCGCGCCCAGAGAGCTGAAACAAGTCCGTCTCTGTTTGATCGAGCTCCGGCTCGTTTGCACCAGATGGTTTGAAGTCTTTGTCAGCGTTCATAATGACCACAGAGGAGTTGAGATGAAATCTGAGCAGTACGTCAAATTACAGACTCGCTAATTAGTACAAATATGGGTGGGGCTTCATTCCTTTAAGCCTCATAACAGGAAGTAAAACAGGTTATAATACAAATGTACGATCTCTGTTATCTTGACAGTAGGGCTGGGCGATATAGGAAAAAGTTTCAGTCGATTTCGATAAATAGGATATAAAAAATGAAATGTAACAGTGTTTATTGGTCTCATGTCTTTTCCAACACAATAATCTCCTGCATCTGTGAGGTCTTTGTGTCTCTTTGGCGTTTTGTCGTAAGGCGTCGCTCTAGAGAAAGCCGACTGAATGGTCGTCTGTTTCGGCTCCTCGCTCCTCTCGGGGTTTGTAACCTTTTGCGTTGCGCGTGCTCTGCGGCGTGGCGCTGCTTCAGGTGTTGAAAAAGATTTGAGGTATTCCCCGACTTTGTGAGAACATGTACTCGACATAATTTACAGTCCACATTACTCTGCTTCATGTCCGACCTCCAAAAACCAAAATACCTCCACACCACCGACGTTTTCCTAACGCCAGTGTTGTGGTTGACATTGATGTGGTCATCTGTTGAGCCTTCATGGTCATTTCTGTCGGGGGTAGCACTCATTTTCTTTGTTTCTCACCAACAGTGCTGTTGGCTTCACCTGTTAAAGTGCTATGGTTGGGTGGAGCTGCTGTCTGCTGTGATGGAGTTGTCTCTTTCTCTCCAGGTAACTGTCCGCAGCAGCAGCAGCAGCAGTGACTGAAAGTTGTCTGACTTTTTCACACGTCTGCGCTCCATCCCGGTTTCTTATTTTATGTAAATGTGCTCGGCTAGAAGTCATGCTGACGAATGGAAACGGTTCTTCAATGTGACTTCATCTTTCAAATATAAAAATCTGCAGGGGCGAAACTATCCTGATATTTAATCACTAGTTTAAAGAAAGGTTTTGAAGCAGACACATTTTTCTTTTCACAAGATGCAACAAATGATCTCCTTTAATGAGAGTCTCAGCGGTAAATGTCAACATCCTCCAGACTCCGAACCTTTGGATGGCTCTGAAAAAAACTCTGAAATGTTGGTGTCTTTATTCTGAAGCGTCACTCAGCTCCTGTCATGTTCAGACCATGATCACAGTCATGATACCGTCTTCTAACATGAGCTGGACCACTCATGACCCATCAGCCTCCAAAAGCCCGGCGTGCCCAGAGACGGTCTGGGAGGATTTATTCAGCTGCTCTTTAATGAACACCAAATCTGTAGTGTCCTTGCAGACAACCGCCGAGAGGTCATTTTATTCATTAGTGCACTCCAGCAAACAGCGCTGCTGCTGTCTGCAGGGGAGGGACTCCATAGTACAGTGCATTTATGCAGCTTTTACAAAGCCCACAAAATCCACAGACAAAGTGGAAGGCCTGTTGTTTCTACAGGGGGGAGAGCTTTGTGGAGGCTGCAGGCCTATCTGCTGGTGTAACCCTGTAGAGCGCGGCCGCATCTGCATGCATTAGGTTCTGCAGCTCGCGATCAATAGTGGAGAAGCTTCAAAGAGGACGGCATTGTGCCAGAGGGCTCCGCAGAGGAGACGTGCTCGGCTCAGAAGCATCAGAGAGCGTGGATCCAGGCTGCTATTGTGCCGTGTGTTTTACATTTGCCCTCTCGCATGCAGAGAGCAAACAAACACGGTGATGGGCACCTCTGCTCCGGACTTAGAGGGAGGAGACCAGCAACAGCACCGAGACACAGTGGGTCTCTCTGCGTGGAGCACATGAGTGTCACTAAATTTAGCAGCATCATCATGTGGAGCGGGTTTTTACAGAAGCAGAACTCCACCAAAGGTAGACATACTGTACATGAGGCCAAAGTTCTGGGTGTAAACCAGCTGCTGAGCTCCAGTTTTTCCACAAGTCTCTGGACCAGAACTTCAGGGATTTCCACCATCCAGCTATGAGAGCATTAGTGGGATCACCATGGATGTCGGGGGACGAGGTCTGGCTCTCAGTCAGGTTCAGCCTGAGTTCAGGTTCATCCCTGATGTGTTGGAATGTAGGACTCTGTGCAAAGTTTGTCCTCAAACTTACGGTGGAAACGATCCTGGTTTGGATCAGAGGTCCGACCAGCAGGATTTAGAGTTAGGGGGGAACTTCAGGATTATCTGTGGTGGGATAAAGTAACAGGTACTGCCCACCTGAGTCAGTTATGTCAAAGATACGAGACAAAAAACAGAGTCTAGTCTGCCGAAGGAGGGGGGAGAGAGAGTTTAATGAAGCCCAAAGCAGCTCAGCGGCTTTTAAAGAAGGAAAATATTCATGTACCTTTCAGCAGTACGATACAACAGAGACGAACCCGAGCTCCAAAGTCTGGAGTCTGTTCCTGTCAGAAGACGGAGGAGACTCTCAAAACTTTCAATTCAAGTCAAACTCTGAACGGAGAGACATGGAGGACATGTGTGTGTTTCTGTGTATATTCACAGAATCATGTAAATTTATACTTATTAAATTCACAAAGAAGAGGAGTCTGAATCCTGATAATAACATTATTATTATCATTATTATTATTATTATTATTATTATAAAAATTATTATTATCATTATTATTATTATTATTATTATTATTATCATTATTATTATTATTGTGTTGTTATGTTTTGGCAATATTGTATTAACAGTCATGCCAATAAAGCTCATTAAAATTGAAATTAAAATAGAGAGTGACTGATCCACACGGTTGTAAACAGGACCAGAAAAACTCTTTTTTTTTTTTACTTCAGCTAAGCCCCGCCCACCAAAAACACCATCCTGTTTCCAACCAATGACAGAGTGCACACAAACCCATGTGACCAGGGCTGTCCACAGAAGTTTGTCCATCTGCTAAAACGATAAAATAATGAAACAAGGACAGATGGTTATCGAATGTTAATTTCAGACAGGACACCAGCAGCAGACGAAGATCTGTATAACATAGATAGACAGGCAGACTTGTGCCACAGGTGATGATGATCTAGTGCCAAAGATCTGGGATTGTCGTTAAGAGAAGCACAAACAGTTCTGGGAAGAATAATGAAGGAGTGTTTCATTTTTGACAGACTGTGGAGATCCCTCTGATTATGAAGGAGGAGAACTGGAACATCTTTCTTCTTGTGTCGCTGTCTCCCACTGTGAATAATGAGAGGTGTTTCATAACAGACCGTATGAATACAGTATTAGTTATTAATGAGAGACAATGGTGATGGGGAGAGGAAACATGACGGGGAAGTCAAATTAGACCCTCACCTGTGTGTGTGTGTGTGGGGGGGGGGGGGGTCTGCAGATCACACAGATCCATGTGAATTAACCATCAGTCCAGGTTTTGATTAGGAGCTAATTTTCTCTGCTTTAAAAACCTCCATGATTACCATCCAATCAGATCCTGATTGGACGTTTTCAGAGACAAAAGAGGAAGTGGGTCCGGTCCAGAGCTGACCTGATAATCAGCTGTAATCAGGGACTCATGGTACCAACAAACACACCTGAGATACTGGAAATCCAAGAACAGAAACATGTTCACTATATTTCACTGTTAAACGCTAACGAAGAGTCAACACCTGTCATCCGTAACTCAGAACAAAGTGACCCGACTCTCAGGCTGGAGAATAAAGACAACATCTAAGTGCCAAAAAACTGCAGTTCCTGAAACGACCACTAGAGGCTTTGTAAGTAACCCCCAATCTCCACCTTCATCCTGATCGTCTCCTAAAAGGTCGTATCCTCCGATCGTAGCTGATCGTAACCGTTCAAGTTAACGTGTCAATTTACACCGACTTCTTTCCGTTCCTCTGCGGATCGCCGGACTCCTCAGCTGATCACAAGAGTTCTTTTTTTTCTGGACGCCGGAGCATGGCGGATAAATTCAGCACAGATTAACCCGTGCTGGAAAGGAAGTCGGCCACAGACACAAAATAAAACATCCGGCTTCTTTTCAAAATAAAACACTCCGTGTTTCAGGAGGATCGTATTTCACACCATGCAAACGGGCGGAGACGAACAAGTGAAAGGTTTTTAGACGTCATTTCACCCCGATGACACCATGGATGAGGAGATGCTGATTCTAGAAGTCTAGAAGTAGATTTCCTCCTCTGGAAGGACACAATCTACTGCTTATATGTCTATGTGTCTGTCTTTATAGAGACAATTAAGACCAGACAACAGGAGTTCATGTAAACACCTTAGTCTGCGGTTAGTTAAACCTGTGGAGATGAGGCTTTAAATACCAGATTTCAGCTCTGGGAGGATCCTAAAGTCAGATTACACAAACAGGATTATAGTCCAGTCCAGCAGATCTAGGACTGTAAATTAAGAGTTTTATCACACATGATTTGTCATGAAACCAAACCGACGTCGTGGTCTTGGACACCCCACAGCCTCCGGTCAGAAAGTCCAGCATGTTTGGTTTCAATCTTCTCCACAGTGAAGCTCGCCTGGTGAGTATCAGCCGTTAACATCTACAGTCAGTGTCCCTCTCAGTTCCTCTTCACTCCTCCCTTCACACACGGTCACTTCAGATCTCCAGTCTGTGACGAGACGCAGGATTATATAAAGTCATAAGTATTCAGCTCTCCAGACTGTTGAGAAGTTTTATCTTCTGCACCGTCATGATCACAGCTCCTCCTCATGCACTTCTCGGTCCTATATGGAGGCTGGCATATGACACCAACTAATCAGCCCACTTCCACTCGTTTCATTTCGGTCCTTGACTTGTGTGTGATCAGAGCCGCTCCATCATCTGCAGTGGAAGAGCTCGTTGAATCGGCTTCTTTCTGCTCTCTGGAGGCAGGATTGACTCTGCGAAGAGCTTCTTTTTTCTCGCTCTCTTGAAACAATGCAGGGGAGTCAGCCGAGAGGCGCCGAGCCCGCGGTTGGTGATGGAGACTGTAATTGGTGATACGCCTCACTAAGCTCATAGCAAAGGTGTAACGATGGGTGATGGAGTGACATACGGTGGCGATGAGGAGGAGAGGGACCAATTTATAACACGTGAAGAGCTGTGAGGAAACCAGCAGAAGAGATGAAGCTTCTCCACTGACAACCAGCCGCACTGAGGGAGAGAGAGAGAGGGAGAGGGAGAGACTATTCTGTTGTTGTTTTTCACATTAACGTGTTCATGACTCCGTTCTTCCTCTGTCTGCTGATAAAGGTGACGAGGTTCTGGGTCAACTTTAAAAACAGCACGGCTGCTAAAGGACTGTTGTAGGTGGATGGATGTGCAAACAGTCAGTACGTTTATGTGACACTCGAGCAAACCGAATTATCGCCTTACTCCGATTACGACCGATCAACTGAAGGTCATGTAAACACCTTAGTCTGACTATAATCAGAGTTTGAGAACTCCGATTAGGACACCCAGATAATGTGATTGGAATTCGATTTTAGTCAGAGTCGGAGTATGATCGGACAACGGATGTGCGCCTACTTGCAGGCCTCGACTGTGTGACGGTTTCACTCACATTTGAACTAAAAATAGATGTGTGCGAATTGTAAAATGTATTTAGGGTCACGTGCACATAAAAAAACCAGTTTTTTCCTGTAAATACGGCGGTGAAGTTAGTTTCAGGTTGGATATATTTTCCTGTAAATACGGCGGTGAAGTTAGTTTCAGGTTGGATATATTTTCCTGTAAATACGGCGGTGAAGTTAGTTTCAGGTTGGATATATTTTCCTGTAAATACGGCGGTGAAGTTAGTTTCAGGTTGGATATCTGACGGACATTCTCTGAGGATCTACCGGTGTCTTCTCTCTCTCCATAACCGGGAATAACAACAGCAGCGCGGTTAAATCTACTCGACACCCTCACTGTCAACGTCGGTGTTGAATAAGGGACCGTCAATAAATTACCGGTTGATGTTCTCAGAAAAGGCTGTTTTCTTTCAATAGCTTCACTGTCATGTGACCAAAAGACCTAAAGTTGATTTCTAATAATAGTACTAAGGAGTGAATGTCGGGGAAACACTGATCTCCATGTTGGGTTGAAAAGGGCCGACGCTCGTCTCTCCTGATGTTTCACCTCGTCTTTGTTGAATTTCAGTTAAATCAGTTTTTTTTCGATCACACAGAATAAAAATGACAGATTTTAATGTTTTTCCAAAGTCAGCGAGGTTATAAATTATGAGTCTTTTTGGAGTCCTTCCACTAATCTTGTCATTTTCATATTTCATGATCCTGTTTTATTTCCTCTTTTGCAGAAACAGAATCAGACAGCGAACCCTCCTGTTTGTGCAGACCTGCGTTTCAGACTTGACTCTGATTCTGCATGTCAATTGTAAATTGCAGCTGTACAAACCTCCCTCCCTCCCCGGCATGCAGCTGACTGGTGAACAACATGACAGCAGTCAGCGTCCAAATCTTTTGGACATGAAATGGAACAATATATCTTTCTTTGTCTCAGACAAACACACACAGCGGGCAGAGAACAAGATTGCTGCTGACAGCCAGTCATGTTCGCTGTTCTACCTGGCCTTTGTCAAAGGTAAGCACACCCCGTCAGATCTGTGAGAGTCTGCTTACATCAACAAAGTCTGCAGCTCACGTCAAACCAGCAGCAGCAGCAGCAGCAGCTGATAGGATACGAGGACGACGGATTTTCACACAGACCAAACTTTGGAAAACAAGATTTGTCAATCAGGCCTTAAATTGGGGGCATGCCGACACGACGTCGTCTCCTCTGTTGTCAGAACTGTTAAGCAGCGTTGTCATTTTGAAGGGAGACTTTCCCAATAAGATCTACATTTTCTCTCCGTTTAATCAACCTGAAAACAGAGGTTACACTTTCAATTTGTCACATCTCCACGACATTAACTCCCTGTATCCTGTCTGAATGATATCTGAAGATTACAGATCCAAATTAGAGCCGACTCCAGGCAGGACCGGATATTAACAGGTTTACCTCCAGTTAAGTCACTCTGGGATCGTTTCAGAGACGTTAGTTTAACTCGTTTAGATTAAAAACATGATTTCTACAGGAGCCTAAAGAGCTAAAGACCTGTGATGGAGCATGTTCAGCGTGTGTCTGATAATAATACATACAGATTAATTTAATGGTTTAATATTATTTATATGTTGGTCCCTATTCTTTAATTCAACACTTTAATTTAACCATCTCTGAGGATGATCTAAAATCTGTTTTTATTTGAGATCTGAATTTCTTCACCGCTCCGTTTGTTTTATTTCACACTAATCCTCTTAAATTAAAGTGTTTTTTTTTTACTGTTGTTGGATTCACAGATTTTAAAGTTCAACTTTTTAATGAAGATAATTCTGTGTTTGACATAGATGTGTGTCGTTTCTACAACCCCAGATTGAAATCCTAAAACTGGGTATTTGATGAATGCAGTGACTTCCACTTCAGAGTCGTACTGTTTCAATCAGAGAGAAGATTTACATCCACACAGATGAAATAAAGTCACACCCGAGTCTATTTAACTCTAACCCAAAATTTCACTGTATCTGGAACGGCGGCGATTTTCGCCGTCCGCCAATTCCTACCAGATCCGTTTGTGAGACGAATTTCATGGCAGATTACGGACAGCAGTAATCGCAGATTCACGCTCAATCGCGCAATAACGAGTTGTCTCTATAAAGACAGACACATAGACATATAAGCAGTAGATTGTGTCCTTCCAGAGGAGGAAATCTACTTCTAGACTTCTAGAATCAGCATCTCCTCATCCATGGTGTTGTCGGGGTGAAATGACGTCTAAAAACCTTTCACTTGTTCGTCTCCGCCCGTTTGCATGGTGTGAAATACGATCCTCCTGAAACACGGAGTGTTTTATTTTGAAAAGAAGCCGGATGTTTTATTTTGTGTCTGTGCCCGACTTCCTTTCCAGCACGGGTTAATCTGTGCTGAATTTATCCGCCATGCTCCGGCGTCCAGAAAAAATAAAACTCTTGTGATCAGCTGAGGAGTCCGGCGATCCGCAGAGGAACGGAAAGAAGTCGGTGTAAATTGACGGGTTAAAGGGAAATTCAGGCGTAAAATTAATTTAGGGTCAAACCCACCGTAACACCGAGTTAGACCCCTCCTCCAGAGATGAATGTTGTCGACCGCTTGCTTCTCTAGTTATACCAACTTTAGTAACGACTGCAGGATAGAAATACAGAGAGCCACGCCCTCAACCAAAACGCCACTCTATAGCCACAAATAATGCTCAGAACAGCACCTAACTTCATCAACAGGACATATAGGGTCACAGACATAGTACTAGACACCAAACAGCTTTTTAACTTTGACTCATTTCTTGTTTCACAAAACTCACCTACTCTCTTCCAGCAGCCGCTTCACTGTTTGGACTTGAATGGAAACAATCAGCTGCCATTGATGGATACAACCTTTTCACAGCTGTTCCACATGTGGTGGAAACTGGGGGTAAGGAGTCCTTTCTCTGTCCTTCTGACAGACTGATCCTGTTCAAGGTCACATTAAGAAAACAAACAAACCTGAGTGTGGGTGTACACAGCAGCTACAGGAGGAATCGGGTCTTCCTATAGCACAGGTGTGTAGGTGTTAAAACACTGAGTCTTTCAGTCCGGGCACAGCTAAGCCTTTCCTTATCCTCACCTCACCCTCAGCACAACAAAGAGCCTCATCCACCTGATCACAGAGGCTTCAGGGGGCTCAAGGCTTTTCCACGCTTCTTCAGAAAGACGCAGGTATTTGTGCAGCAACTTAAGCCTCGACCCGGTAACCTTCAGCACATTTTGGGCCATTTGGTATTCATGAAAAGCTGCAGCAGAAGAGGGGGGGATTTGCCTCAAATGGACTTGATTAATCTGGCAGTAGAAGTGATGCTGGAGCAACAATCTCAAGATGCAAACTCCTCTTTCAGCAGCTTGTGGCCATCTTCACAATTACCTGTTTTCAGAGAGTTAATCTGCGCCTTTATCTTGGAGGAGCGAGCCGCTCCGGCTAAAAGTGAGCACACATCTCAAATGAGATCCCAACTCTGACCTTGATAAGTGCATAAAACTGCCAAACTGGCTGCTTCAGCTCGGAGCGGTAAATATACGGCAGAGGGAACAACACAGATACACACACACCTCTCTCTCTCTCTCTCAGGTACTCAAATGTTGGCGGAGAGCCACTCTGGACAGAACAAATCACAGCAGCTGCACTTATCTATGGACACGTTTTTTTCTGTCCTCTCTCAGAAGGAGGTGAATAAAAGGCCGACTGACTCCTGCACCTTTTTCTTTTTTTTTTTTACAGTATCGTCTTTAAAACACGGAAACATGGACGCCGTCTGTCGACTCCTTCTGATGGTTAAATATCTGACAGACTGGAACCATAATGAGAAGGTTAATGGTTTAAGGCCTGCAGGTTTTCAGCTCAGTCCAAGGATCTCTGAGTGACAGAGGACCTACTCCAGAGTAGTTTAAGATTTAGGTTTCCAGTGTTTATTAAAACTTGCACTAGGTTTTTGAGAGGGATGTTGAGTCCATGCGGTGAGTTCCACTACAGAGTCATGAGTTTTTAAAGAGATGGGTCCATTTGGAGACGTTTTGAGTCCTATCATGACCTGACATGGTTGGTGGTTATAGATGGGAATCAAGAACCGATTCTTGTTGAGAACCAGTTCCAAATGGTTCAATCCATCGACATCATTTACATTTTAGTTGTTACGTATGTTAGTGTAACCATACGACCTCTTTTACCTGGACATGTCCTCTTTTGGGGTGCTGTCCAGGGGGAGTTTATCAAATCCTTTAAATGTCCTGAACGTGTATTCATTCGTTAAAAAACAGTGCAGAGGATCAGTCCTCTCTGCAGCTCCGCTCACTTCTCAGCAAAGCCACTGATGCGACGCACACATGCGCTGTCTTTGGGAATTCAGAATAATATGTTTCACTGAGTAAAAAGTGCATAAAAAACCCTCAAAAATTTCGCACACAAGTCCGGCCCGTGTAGTCGTGTCCTCTTTTTGTGGATTCAGAATATGGTCACCCTAAAGTATGTCCTTATGTATGTTTACATAAACACAATGTCAGAAACTCTGTACAAATAACATTTCTGTTTGATAATTTTAGACTCTCACTGAAGGTGGCGTACTTCTGTTTCTGTTATCAGAGACTCAATAACATTTTCAGTTAACGGTGAAATTCTATAGACTACTTTTTTTAACGAAGAAAGGCATTGAAAGGGAATCGTTAAGGAATTGAATCGATGAGCAGAATCGATAATGGCATTGATATCTATAAAATCTTATCACTTCCCATCCCTAAATGAAACTGGATCATGTTTCTGATCCGGAATAATAAAACCTCCACTCTGCTGTCCTCCTGTCTGCTCTCTGTAATCTAAAGACTAACCCTGACGGACAGGTCGCTCACTCGCCGCCGCCGCTGGCTGGTAAAATCACTCAGCTCATGGACGGGGAGCTCAGAGGATATTTGTCTGTTTACTCCCCTGAAGTGTGAGTTTGGGATGACCGGAGGCTGAGGAGATCTGGGCCGGTCCAAAACTGAGCACCAGGAGAAGGAGAACGGACAATGAAAGAGGAGAGGACGGCGGTGAGCGAGGCAGGAGCGGTGCCGTTTGATTTACAGCAGCTGGATGTGGATTTAGGGGGCGCTGCAGGAGCAACAACCTCTGAATCATGAGGAACAGAACCAGAACCATCATGACACCGGGCTCCTCCTCGTCTTATGTCAGAACATGAGCTCTGTTTTTTAAACGCCGCAGGCTCCATGGTGATTACCCATGAGTCAAAGGTGCGGTCCACAGCGAGGGTTCATAAAGGCGCTCCAATCAGAAGCCAAAAAAACAATCAAGTCAAACACAAACAGAGCGAGCTCGCCGTTTGTTGTGCGGTTCGACTTCTGACTGCTGATGTCAACATGGTTAATATCCACACGGCGTTTAGCATACAGAGGAGGAAGTGGGCGCCCTCCCTCCCTCGCTTGCTCGCTTGCTCTTCTCTCTGTATTAATGAGATCTCTCTCTACTGAGAGGCTGTCAGAAACTATTATTTCACACCGCTGACTCTTTAGTCTGCAGACAGTTAACAGCTCATCATAATGGACGGATTATAATCCAACTTCACCTTCGGACACAAGACCACACAGCCGGCTCGTTAGCCCCAAACAACGCTTCGTGTTTTAAAGACAGAGCGGAGACCTCGGCAACATGTCAGCGGGATCACAGAGAGCGAGGAGAGCTGGGAGGACTGGAAATGATGTCAGCAAGAAGCTGCTGTTAACCACGGCGGTGAGGCGGCGTTCATTTTTTAAACCATGTCTGAAAGTAGGGCTGGGCGATATGGGAAAAAGTTTGTTCATTTCAGTCGATATCGATAAATATCAGGATATAAAAAATTAAATTAACAGAGGTTATTGGTCGCATGTCTTTTGCGATGTCTTTGTGTCTCTGACGTTTTGTCGTAAGACGTTACGTTAAAGAAAGCGGACTGAATGGTCGTCTGTTTTCGGGGTTAAAGTGCTATGGTTGGGTGGAGCTGCTGTCTGCTACGACGCAGTTATTTGATACTTGGTTCTAATTCAGAACATGATCGGTTCGGCATGAAGCGAACCCGCAGAAACTATTTGTATAGTCGACCAAAACACTTCAGAATGACAACTATTGAAAAGTATACTGATTATGTTTTATATTGATATTGAGGGAAATTAATTTCCGATATATATCTTTAGCGTTTTATCGCCCAGCCCTATCTGTGAGGTTCCGACAGAGCGCCCCCTCCTGCTCTGACTTCATATAACAACAGTTACAGAAATGAAGAATTAAAGGCACAGTACGCGGTTTTCAACTCACTGAACAACAAACTGCTGCTGTTGTCTCTTAAAGAGCAAACAAAACCATGACCAATGACGGATCTTTGTTAGGAGGGGGAGGAGTCAGACCGGATGATTGACAGCAGGCCAAAACAAAAAAAAAATAAAATGTGTTTTTTTCACTTTTTCAGGAGCAAATACGAACATTGAGTGAAGCAGACAACAGGGAAGGTTTTTGGTCTGAGAAGACTTCTTTCATATATTTAGGAAAGTAGAGGACGGGAGTTGAGCGGTATCACTTTGTCCACAAGGTGTCGCCAAAACAGACACACACACCAAAAGTTCCTCACAGCAGCTTTAAACTCGCTAAAAAGGCCGTTTCAGTGTTGTTGGTTTGATTTGAAACACAAATTAAGTTTAAATCATTCAAATATTTATGACATAACAGTGAAAAAATAAAAACAGACGACTCTGAATTACACGTTAAAGCTCCTGTAAGGAGTTTTTTAATATACTGAAATTCATATTAAAGACTTTTAATGTCATACAGGATCTTAATTTTTCTGTTTGGATTTTAAAAACCTGAACTGGTGCGGGGAGGCGGGTATAAACCAGAGCTGATAAACGAACTGACAATAAACGACTGCAGCCGCTGACCGACCAATCATATGAGGCGTTAACCCAAAGGAGGCCTGCTGTGATTGGCTGTCTCTGATCACGCAGAATAATTCAGTTTCCCTGAAAACACGACACTTTAGTTTGACTTCATGATGAGTCGTGATCGTCGTTTAGAGAAAAGGCCGGAGGATTTCTGACATGAAACCTCAAAAATCTCTGAGCAGACTCATCAGTCGTGTTTGTCCGTCATGTCGGATCTTTAATCTCTCAAACCCAGAGCCGTTGGGTCGGTAAACAAAGTCCCTCTTTCCTCTCATCTTCAGTCGAGCTGCTCCAGGATCTCTAACTCGGAGCTCACCAACGGCCCAGAGTGACGGCACGTCCGTTTGTAGATAAATTCATGGTGTCTCATACATTTCAATTGGAGTGTGTGTCCATGGAAGAGTGTTTGTGTTGCTGTGAGCCATGAACCCTCTCGCTGTCGTCTGCACTCGGGCGTTTTTCTGAAGCTGGCACATCCTGCTGATCCTGCTCAGCTGCTTTGTAGTTCCCCTCACACACTCACACACACACACACACACACACACACACACACACATTTGCATCAAATTTCTGCTATCTTCAGTGTTTGGGATCATTTGCATGATGTTGTTTGCTATCTGACAGGGTGTGCACTTGACTGTGTCGGGACTTAAAGAGGGTCGGTACATGAAATCAAGGACGGGGATCGCTGTGAGGGATGGATGGAGGGAGGGAGGAGAGAGGAGAGAGGGAGGGAGACGCATCTGCTCTTTCCTCTTCATAACTAAGTCCAATATTTCTACGAGAGAAGAAACATTTCTCTGCACTCTCACACAAATGGACCTTATCTGTGCTGAGAGATTCAGTCGGAGCGGGCCAGAACATCTCTAATGTGGTAATGTCTTTAGGGGAGGAGCCGTTTAAAAGGACAACATGAAATAAATGTAATACTGAACATGATGTCTGTATGAAGAGGACGGTGTTATGGTGGAGGAGGAGGAGGAGGAAGAGGAGGAGGAGGAGGAGGAGTGTATCTGTGAGGAAATGTTTGAGATTCATGTTAAAGTCATTTTAGAGCTAAACATGTGTGTACGGTCTGGGGTTCGACAACAGTTCAGGTCACAATAACTCACAATTTTCACAACATCTAGAACGGTGAACGGCGGCTATTTTGGATCCGTTTATGAGGCGAATTTCGTGGCGGATTACTGAGCGGAGGAATCGAGAGAACTCACAAGAACCTGCAGATTCACCTTCAATCCTGCGATAACGAGTCGTCTTTAGCCACATAGACATATAAGCAGTAGATTGTGTCCTCTGACTGTGGTTTTGGTGCTGGATCATCATGTTAGCATGGTACACCTGAAGAAACCCAGGAGGACACCCCTCCAGGTGAAACCAGGTCAACGACCCGCTAATGACTCTCAGGTGACCTTTACCCTCTTTACAGCTGGAGGACCAACAGAGACTCTGGTCCCAGAGACTCGAGGACTGAAGAGGCCTTTTAGGAGAAACATCTTCAAGAACCTCAAACAAGTCCAGTTACCCTTTCAATGAAGACCTGGATCACCATGACCCGGATGAAGGACATTTTTCCAACATGGCGGCGGCCCTCCACCATCACAGGACGCCAAAACGTCTCTGAAGAAACCGAAGGCTGAAAGGACGTCAAAGTTTAAGATCATCTTTGCTCCAAACCTCAGAAATAAAGAAACATCGACCATATTTGTTATTTTTTTAATCTTTTGTTGTTTTAAATATTTGACAGAAAGTTTGAGGTCTTTCCAAAATAAACTCTTTCTCATCAGTTTAACGTTTTAATACGATCTTCTTCTTCGGTCTTTACCATGAAAATAAAACAATCCCAGACTTCTAAATGACGTTTTTCTGTTTCGTGATTCAAAGTCGATCCAGACTGAAGTGAAACCTCGGCTCAGATATTCATCAGATTAAAAGAGACTTGTTGGTGACTTCCTCTAAACTAAACTTGACGGTTTGTCCCTTTAATCAGACGTCTGTCAAACCTCACTGAGGGTCTCTTTATTCCTCCCTCTGTCATATTAGCCGAGCCAATTAGAGAGCGATCTGAAAGGTGTGTGCAGATTAATGAGGGACATCTTCACGGGTGCAGCTGGGAGTCGACCTCTCCGATGGGAAATGAATGAGATCACACGCCGTTTTTCCAGTTGTTGTCTTCAGGTTGATGAAGCTGGGTGGAGCAGCTGGAGGTAAATCATCCACAGAGTGCTCCACAATGAGACAGCCACACTTGATCAGGTGTATTGATGGCTCTTCTACAACCTCATCTCCAATCTGTGAGAGCAGATTGTTCGGGTACGTTAGCGCCTCGGAAACCGTTTGATTGGAAGTTGGAGCTGCAGACTGTCACATTACCGACTGAGGTTGATGGATACTGTCGAGTCATGGAGGGGGGCGGTCCTCCGAGTCTTTAAAGTTTTCTAAACGGTGCAGTTTATCTGTGTTTCCAGTTCAATAGACTCAGGAAGGAGAGACAAAGGAGGGAACGAAAGAAGAAGACACTGTTCGCTAAAGTCAGAACTACACCTCTGCTCAGAAATGTCAAAAATCATCGTCATGGTTACAATGGTCGAACCGACATCAGGATTTTTACAAACGAGTCGATTTCTGCGTCACGTTCATGTTCGCAACTTCAAACCTCTTTGGCAGCGGCCGCCATATTGGTAATGTTAAATCAGTGTTCGACCAGAGGCGGGTCTTCAGCCTCCTGCTGAATACCTGTCAGTCAAGGCAGGTACGCTTCTGATTGGTTGATCTCTTAACATGAAGACCATCCAAACAAAACAGACAGTTTTCACTCCAAGAACAAAAGGAGCTCTGAGGACTTCCTGATCGTCTCCTAAAAGGTCGTATCCTCCGATCGTAGCTGATCGTAACCATTCAACTTAATCTGTCCGGCTTCTCTCCGTTCCTCTGCGGATCGCCGGACTCCTCAGCTGATCACAAGAGTTCTTCATTCTAAGTCCCAAGTCCCAAGTCCCAAGTAAGTCCAACTGTCCTTTCCAAAAGAGTGTTACCCCCAACTCGCGATTCCTGCTGTCCGTAAGTTGCCACGAAATTCGCCTCACGCACGGATCCAGTAGGAATTGGCTGATGGCAAAAATCGCAGCTGTTCTGGATCGGAGCCTGTCTAGATGTGGTGAAAATTGGGGGTAAAAGAGTCTGAAGCTGAATCTAGAGTCTTAGTTCAAAGACGGTTCCTCTGATTCCTCCTAAAAGCATTTGAGGCTCCACTTTGGATCTACAAAAGTCATTTTCTGAGGCTCCACTTCCTTAAAAAGTTGTTAAAGTTGAAAAAGTTTCATCTGCAGCTGAAATCTTCTGACCCTTCATCAGAGACGATCATTGAAATTCAGTTTTGAAGAGTTTTGAAAAAGGTAAAATCATCCCTGATACTTGACACCGACACCTGAACTCGTCTCAGTTTTTTAAACTCTACAGATTTTCATCCTCACTTCTTCATTTCTTTACTGAGTCGATCTCTAAGAAGCTTTTTTATCTCCGCTCGGTGTGTGACCTTTTCATTTACAGACAGGAAGTTTGAAGTTCACCTTGAATTTAATAAAAATGTCATGAGTTGATGTTTTTGCAGCACAGTGACTGACTCCAGCCTCCGTATAGATCTATGTTTAAACGTCTACATTCAGCCTCTAACATAGATGTTCTCCATCTGGGCTGAACTCCGGCTGACATCTGCTGGATTGCATCCCTGGTCTCCCTGATATCTATACCGGCCTGTTTGAGTGATTG